ATATGCTATGGAAACTGTGTGTGCTGTCATCAATGACATTCCCGAAGGACTTTGATATGTGGTGTAGGCTAAAGGGAACCATATTGAATGAGATATTTTGGTGTTACTTAGCAGATTAATACTTACTTTGTGTTGAAATGGTATGCTGATATAATACATTTTTCCTGTGTTATGAGCTTTTACTTTTTGGAGCATGTCCTTTGTAATTCAGGTTGCTAAAAGTGCATCTGGCTTGGTAGTTGATAGTTTACAAGTTAGACTTTGGTAGTAGCTGTCATCTTGTTCATAGCTGTCTGGTGTGTGGTTACTTTGGAAATATGTGCGGCATAATTCTGCAGTGTGTATTCTTGGCCCTCAGAAGTTTCACATGACACATTTGCTTGGCTGGTTTCTTTAGAGGTTCCTTTACCTGTTATGGTGATATGCAAGCCCAATGGAGATTTAAGAATTTGTGGCAATTATAAGGTGAGTGTGAATCGCCAGAGTTGTAAATTGGTAGTAAGTTTTAAGAAATCACCACAATGAACACCCATATTGGATTACTAAGATCAACTCATCTATCATTTGGAGTAAAAACTCAAGCCACATTTTCCAAAAAGCCATCAAAAAAGTTTTAGAAAGGATTAAAAATATAATTGTATATCAAGACAACATTGACATTGGTGCATGCAGTAAAGAAGAGCTTAAAAATAAAGTGGGGTAAGTTTTGAGAAAATTAAATTTGAGTTTAATTGTTAAAAAATTTAATTCCTAGGAGATCAAATATCCAAAGATGGTATATCACTGGATGATAAACTCATTAATAAGATATCAGATGTAGCTGCACCCAGGAGTAAAAAGAGTTAGTGTTATAATGGAACACACCTATTCTTTAGTTAATAGACTCTCCCACCTATAATAAGTAGAAGTAGTAATAGTAACAAGGAGTTGCTCAGTGGGTCGGTCAGTCAGTCGATGTTGGACGACAGTTAGTTGAATATTAAACTATCAGTGACCACAACTAGATTTACTCTGCGTTATACCTATTATATCAAGTTCCTAACATTTTGTACGTTGAACCTATTTTAGGACTGACTTAGTACAAATACAAGCCTCCACTGTGAAATCACTCCATAACAGTTAGAATCTATTTAGGATTAAACAATTTTTATAGCAGATATCTACTGCAATATAGTGACCGTATGGAAGCATTTAATGAAATAAAGAAGAATACCGAGTTTCAATGGACAAAAAGGTAGGAGATTGCTTTCAAGAAATTAAAAAAGACACTCATAAACTAACCAGTTGTTAAAATCTTTGACATAGCAAAAGAATTGATGTTAACTATTGATGCCAGTGACTGTGCTATAGCTGCAATATTGTTGCAGGAGGATCACCCTGTAATGTACTTATCTAGAGAAATAACGTCGGTGGAGGTGAATTATTTGAATATTGAAAAGGAAGCATTAGCGATTGTGTGGAGCATGAAAAGAGCAAGAAATTTTTTGCCAAGATGGAAATTTCTATTAAAATCTGATCATAAGCCTTTGAAATTTATATTCAACCCCAGAAGAGAGTTGCAAAAGGTCACATCTGTCAGGATATTAAGATGGGCAATTAAGCTTATGGTGTTTCATATATATTAAACAAAATGCTATTTCACATGTGGATGCATTATCTCAGTTAAATTTTGAGAGTAAAAATGTTGAAGCAAGTGAAAATTATGATTTAGGATTTTACATGGATAGAAATGGATGTATTACACTTAAATTGGCTTAGGTTGGGAACTAGCCAAGTGTTGAAAAGAATTATGGATAGAATAAAGAGAAATACATGGAGTATGACTGAGAGGCCTTATAAAAAGTCAAAACACAAATTAACAATAGAAAAAGGAATTATTATACCACCACACTCTCTGAGAAAAGAAGTAATTAAAGCCATGCACAATGATATACATGGAGGTATATTGGCTACACAAATGATGTTAAAGTTGGTTGCAAGCATGGAGGCTAGGCTATTCAAGATACATGGAAGTGTATGTTAAAAAATGCTCAAATTGTACTGAAATAAAGAAATTTAGGCAAACTAAAATTCACACTTGGCCAAATGAAATGGAGCCATGGACATGAGTACATTTGGTTCATGTCTACATTAAAGGTATAGGACTATTTTAGATATTAGTCAACTCGTATTCAGGTTGGTCTGAAGTTATTAAAGTTGTGGATAGAAAAGTGAGTGTTGAGGATAGTGTTTTTGAGAAATGGAGTTCCAAAAACCTTGGTCTCTGGCAATGCACCTGATGAGTTTTGTGAAGAAAGTTTATGTGCATGGTTAAAACGTATTGGCTGCATTCCATACAATGCACCACCTTACCACCCACAGTCAAATGGAATTGTAGAGAGAATGGTTCAAATGGTAAAAATAGGATTAAAAGCATTTTCTTCAGTGGATTGTCATATAGAGAGATATTTACCCAGACTACTCCCAAGTTACAGGGCTATTCTGTATGCAGGCAAAAGACAAAGCCCATCTGTATTGATGGGAAGACAAATAAGAGCTTCAATTACCATACCATTTGCAATTAATGAAAGTGTGCAGTACAGAAAGGACAAGGATCCAAGTCCTGAAAAGGTGAATTTTGTGCTGCAAAAGTGATTTAACACAGCTGTGTTAACAAAGAAGGGACAGGGCATACTGGCTCACGAAGACCAATTTAGAACCACAAGAGAGCATGAAGTTATGGAAATGTAGGAGGAAGAGGAAGCAGAAGATTAGACAACACAAGAAAGGATGAATGAAACTAGTATTGAGAGTGATCAGGAAGACCACCAAAGATATGAAGGTGAAGAATAGGAGAGGGAGGAGAGAATGAGTCTATCCAGTAGTAGTGAGGAACAATCTGTGGATGAAAGTGATCAGAGGTATCATGATGATTCAAATGAGGAGAATTAGTTAAGATCTTCTGTCAAGAGTAATAGTGTGAAGAACAAAGGTATTTAGTTGTATGTAACATTTTTTTAATCATTTCACCCCAAGCAGGGAAGTAAAGCCACTAAGATACCAGGGATTACTGAGTGTGAAAGAATAAGAAAAAAGAGAAACATTATGAAGGAGTGAGGACAATAAAAGAAGAGGAATCAAGGAGACAGTAGATAATATATGACATTGCATTTAAATTTCTGAAGATCAAAGTTGTCTGGAAAACATGGAACCAAAAGACAGTTCTACAGGTGAGAAAATGTTAGTATAGAACTTACAGTTGCATCTTGCCATTTCAACTGTAAAGTGATAAAACCTATTTGCTAATCTCATCAGTCAGTCAGTTATGTGCCATACGTGATACATGCTTAGGCAATCATGTATCTTTCAATATGATTGATGAGGCAGATTTTTTTTCTGCAGTAGGTTGCCATTTCTTTCTGTGGTAGACCAGTTGCCATCCAAGACTATAGAACCCAGTCTGTCCTGCTATTTACCCATAGCTGAGGGGAGAATAAGATGATTCATAATTTTCCCAAGGGTATAAGTCAATGTAATAGATTTGACTGGAATTCAAACTTGGTTCTCCGATTTCTCAATCTGAGCTGCTGTCCATTACTCCATCATGCCTTCTTTGTACTGTGCTTAAATCCATAAATTCTAGCAGAAAGTTCATCAGAACAATTACCATGAAAGTATTTATAGAGAAGGTGAGAGAAGAAACTGTTAGCATTGAACTTACAATTACATCTAGCCATTTCAACCATAAAATGATGAGACCTTTCTGCCAATCTAGTACTGCACTTTAATTCATAAAGACTAGGTACCATAGAGGAAAGTTCATCAGAACAATTACCATGAAAGTATTTATAGAGAAGGTGAGAGAAGAAACTGTTAGCATTGAACTTACAGTTACATCTAGCCATTTCAACCATAAAATCATGAGATCTTTCTGCCAATCTAGTACTGCACTTAAATTCATAAAGTCTAGGTACCATAGAGGAAAGTTCATCAGAACAATTACCATGAAAGTATTTATAAAAAAGGCACTGAGAAGTTACATTATGTGATTTGTTGGGTGACAAAGAAGTCCCCCAGAGGGGAAATGAGATATATCTTGTCACCATGACATCTTGAGAGTAAAGAAGAAAGAAAAGAGATGGTTTGTGACCTATCTTTGGTCATGGATGTGTGACTGTTGATTCCATTGGCTTCAGCCTACAATGCCCTCTACCCAGCAATACTATATCATCACTGAACTGGATATAGTGGCCAGCTACTAGTTTTCCAAGCACATCTGTCTACTAGGGCAACTAGCCAGTCCCTATTGCTCAGATGCTTGCACAAGCACATTTGTGTTTATTCAACACCCACAGAATCCACATGTGGTTTATACTGCAACTCTTACAGTTTCTGGGATAGAGTGTATAATAAGATGTGATCAACAGTTTGTGAACAAGGCCAGTAATCTCAAAACCTCAGTCACAATGACTTGTGACTTTGTGCTAGAACAATCATCAGCAGTTCCCAAACACCATCTACTCAATTTAACTCACACGGCTTTGATTAACCCATGACCTGGTTTAAAGATACTGCATGCTGTGATTGCCTCTCCAGACCAGTAATATCAAGGTTAACCTTCCTGACAAATTGGCCATGGTGAAATTTGAACTTGGGACTCATAGTCAGAAAGCAAAGATTCTAACCGCTAAGCCATGTGCCCTTATACCGGATATACTGCAATTAGTTCAGTCCCGGTCGCAGATTTAGCCTGCAGTCAGTCAGAAAACTCCCTTTTGTCACCAATAACCCAACCATGTGACAGGTCCTCCTAACACTTGTAGAGTGATCTGGCATACCAAACTGCTTAGGAAAAAGTCAATTTCTCAAACTTACACTGGTTCATGAATTTGAGTCACAAAATTATTTTTTTGAAATATAAACTATAATAAAAAGATATTTATATTTTTCTGTAAATTCTTTTTCATGAGACTGTCACTTACTCTTTGCTGAAGTCAGATATCTCCCTTTCTTTTTTTTAGAATGGTGTTGATGTTGTCTATGAATCTGTGGGCGGTGAGATGTTTGAGACCTGTGTAGACAGGTAAGCTTTACACTGTGATTGTTGAAATTTTATTTAAAAATGTGTATTCAATTTTTTGTCACCTTCCTGTTTTCAGAAAAGTCTCTTTTTCTTATGATGTTGATTTGGGGTTAGTAGAGACAAATGCCAAATAACACGTAACGATAAAAAGGGTTTTAATAGGTTGGTAAAAAGGTACAGAAATCGCCTGAGTAGTCAATAACTAGTTCAGCTAAGAACTTCTCTGTCTATCTATCTTTTTTTCATGTCAACTGACATGCCACTATTTAAAGTCTTTGTTCACAGACGCAGACAAGTTCATCTTCAAGAGGGGTGTTAGGTTTCCGACACAACACTTTTGAAAAGTGCACATTTTTTATTTAAAATTTGATATATGTTTTTTTTATTTCTATTTTCTTTTCTTTATCCCAATATGAATGAATAAAAAAAAATAACAATTTTTGAAAATTTAAACTTTAAAATTAACAAAGGGGATTAAAAGCAAATTTACTGACAAGTAGCAAATATCAGAATCACAATCACAATTGATCACAGGAGGCATGGTGGAGTAATGAATTGTGGCTAGGATTGAGGAATCAGAGAGCTGAGTTCAAATTCCAATTAAATTCATTACATTCACTTACATGCTAAATATCCTTGGGAAAGTTATGAATCCATCTCTTCTCCTCCCCAGCTATGAGTAAATAGCAGGACAGACCAGCTTCTATAGTCTTGAATGGCAACTGGTCTGGTGTGCTGAATACATGAATTTAAGCATGTTACTAGAGTGAAAGTGAGGCAGGGTGGAGTAATGGATAGCAGCTTGGATTGAGGAATTGGAAAACCGAGTTCAAATTCCAGTCGAATCTATTACATTCATTTACATGCTAATATCCTTAGGAAAGCTATGAATCCTCTTCTTCTCTCCCCTCACTATGGGTAAATAGTAGGACAGACTGGGTTCTGTAGCCTTGAATGGCAACTGGTCTGGTGTGCTGAATACATGAATTTAAGCATGCTACTAGATTGAAAGTGAGGCACGGTGGAGTAATGGATAGCGGCTTGGATTGAGGAATTGGAGAACTGAGTTCAAATTCCAGTCAAATCCATTACATTCACTTACGTGCTAACACTCTTAGGAAAGGTGTGAATCCTCTTTCTTCTCCCTCCAGCTATGGGTAAATAGCAGGACAGACTAGGTTCTATAGCCTTGGATGGCAACTGGTCTAGGAGAAGGAAAACTCTGAATTCAAACCTGCTCTTAGAGGAGGGTGAATGGAGTCTCTCTGAGCCTTGGTTGGCAATCCATTTAATGTTGGTGTCACGATAAAAACACCCTTGATAGCCCTAGCGAAGCATCAAGAATTCAGCTATTTGACAAGATTATGAACTACACCAATCAAAGTATTGGTGAGTTCAATCTCAGCTGAGGCCGCAAGATGATGATGATGATGCAGGGAAAATTCTGCCTCGTCAGTCATGTATCAAAAGATACATGATTGCCTAAGCGTGTATCACAGATAGCACATAACTGACTGACTAACTAGATTGATAACTAAATCTCACCATTTTACTGTTGAAATCAATGCAACTTCCACTTCTACTTCAACTGTTTCTTTTCTTGCACTTCCCACCTGTGGAACTCACTTACTTTCCCGATAACTACAATCTTCAAAAATTTAAATGCAATGTCAATCACCATCTTATGTCTCCTTGAATCCAGTTCATCTTTTGTTCTTTCTTCAATCCTCCCTATTCTCAGTCTTCTCTTTCACTCCCTGTAACTCCTTGTATCTTAGTGGCTTTATTGGCTTACTTGGGGTGAAAAGATTAAAAGAAAAATAATGATAGAAAGAACTTATAGAGCAGTAAGAGAACTTCTATGACAACTTTACTGTTTGTAGGACAGGTAGTTAGCCAGTACATAAAATTAACACAGGTAAGCAATGAACAAGCTGGAAGAGAAAATGCTGATAAGCATATGTGTGAACCAGTGGTAAGGACAACAAATGGGATAATTCATAGGAAAAACAAAGCAGTATTTACTTATGTGGAAGAAATATTTAAACATATATATTTATACATGTCTGGAGTCACCTGAAATGCAGTACTGCTGGAGAAAGCCAAAAACAACTTCATCAATTAGATTCTTGGGAGTGGGGGGTAAAGGTAACCTAGGATTTATTTTCCCAAACTGTATATTGGTGGCTTTATTTTTACACATAGTGGGGAGGAACCATACCCACCTGGGAGTATCCTTTCAGTATTGCTATTTTATTCTAGCCAACAATTTTTCTTTTTTTATTCTAAATTCCAGACATTTGATTTTGACCTTTTCAGTTAATTGGTCTCTTCTCTAATGACACAGCACTCTGATGGATAATCACTATACACTAATATCCCTTAGGTCCCAGTTTTTGAACTTGGGCCGAGTGGTGAACCCCAACACACTGTTAATATTTTCCTCTTTTCATTCTTTTATTTTCCTAACTTCTGTAGTGGTTTCTCCTTGAATACCATGTATTTGATCTCTGGTCTAAAAATTATTACTAAATCTATGTTACCCTTAAAATACATATTTGAGTTTCAAATAGATGGGCTGGGATAATCTTCCTTTTTCATTTAAAAAAATCCACCTGGGACATACTTATTTCTATTAAGCCCTTATAATAAATATTCAGGAAATTTCTTCCTATCCCTTAATTTAGGCAATGGTATACCATTATAATGGTAAGCAGAAAGAAAGAAAGAATGAATGAATGAGACAGAATACACATGTAATCCACTCTGGCTAAGATTTCAGACTGGAATCCTTGAGCATTTTTTGGTGTTTGTTGTCAATATATATATATATATATATATATATATATATATATATATATAAATTAACATAATTAGAAAACAGACAACCTTAAGGGTCCATTGATTATATTTTATTTCCCCAGGAAGGTGTCCTTACCCTCCCTCCCTCCCTCCCTTACTCTTAAGTATCTTAATAAAAATAGATTTAAAATTATTCCTATGTCTCCCTTCCTTCTTTGATTTTGACCATATCTGTTGTCGTCCTCCTCCCCTCTCTCCATCACCTTACATCAACTTGAAACTACCCCTGAAAAGTGTATAAAAATAATATGTAAATTTAAAACCATTTTTTATACTTGGAAATGTGACCTGAGGAACCAGGAAAAAAACATCAATATGCCTAATTTATAATTAATGTCAAATGTTAACTGCAAAATATATCAATCTGTATTTTTTAAATTAACCATATAATCACCTACAAATGTCAACACAATTATGTAAACACATATCAATGCACATATGCCCATACACAAATATCTCTATGCATATACAGTATAACATAAGCAATTAAACCTATATATAGAGATGCCAGGTGTTATTTCAAGTCTAGATAATTTAAAATTCCAGAGTTTCCATTGGCAGGCCTCTCAAATATTAGATGTAGTTTGTTATTTTGAGACGATGTCTGTGCCTGCATTTAAAGATAATTTTGTTGTGGTGATTTAGTAATTCCGCAGGTTAATTATGTTTGATTATTAAGATTTTTCTTTACTGGGTGTAACAGCAAAATTGTCCAAATCATATAAAAGCAAAATTGTCTATTTGTTAGATTAAGCTTTCAACTATTGTATCTTAGAAATGATTAAAGATATCTCACTAGAATTCTCCATTGGACTCTATTTGAGCAATAAGAATGTATAATTACTCTCTAAGCTTAACAGAAGAATCATGATGAAATTGTTCATAAATGAAAATGACATGTTCATCATTAATTAATCATAGTTAAGGATCGAAAGCTCATGAAGGATTGAAATAAAATTCAAATATATATATATTATTCCAGGATCAATTTTTAAGCTAAGGTAATTTTCATCCTCTCTAACCTTCTAACTTTCTGTCCTGGAGTAACAAGATGCCTCACAGATTTCATGTATGATTTCATTTTCAAGTCTTTTTTCACTGCTTTTTTTTTTACTCTCATAACTGAAACTCCTCTCTCACATGCTAAACGTTTTATGGATTGAATTGGATCTTTTCTAATTGGTCTCGTTAGCTTGAAGTTAAAATGATGATCCCTCTTCCTGTTGTGACCTACTGTTCCAGTTTTTCTCTCTTTTTTAAACTTATTCACCATTCTCTTGATGGTTCTTGAATGAACTTTGAAGAGGGAAGCCAGAGTATGAATGTTGTTGCCATTACCAAAGGCCTGAATGATCTTTTTTGTCTATCATTGCTCAGTTGGGAAGATATAGTGGTGCTGACACAAAACTGTTTTAACCTGTTCTCTTTTGAGCTGAATAACTCAAAGGGTTTTTCAGGGATTCTTATGAAAAATGGTGTCAAGATGGCTAAACATCTTATATGAAAACCTGGTAAAAGGAAACTCAATTAGTGATTTTTTAGATATTAAACATTTTGTAGGATGGACAATTATGCTATAACACAATTCGGACAATTTTGCTATTACACCCTATATATATATATATATATATATATTTATGCTCTACTTTTGTATCGAGCACTATTTAAAAAAAAACAATAACAAAAATACTAAAGAACTTTGAATTATTTACCTAACGAGTTCTTTCCTACATACTTTTCACACACACACACACACACACACACACACACACACACACACATATATATATATATATATATAGTTGAGTAATAAAAATCTTGGTAATCCGTATGGATAATCCCAAGGAGGATGAAATCCAGAGAGCTCAATGTTAAATCAGAGCGAATAATTTAATTTAAAGAAAACCAGCCAAATTTAAGGTTCCATAAGGTTATAATTGATTTCCCCAGGGATTTTCTTGTTCCCTGGATCATCAGACATCACTTCAAAGTATGAAAAAAAATCAGTTTTGTTGTCTTCTTTTTAAATTATATATATATATATATATATATATATATATATATATATATATATATATATATATATATATATAAGATTAAAATATAGTTTTAAGATATGCTATACTTATAGGTAAAGGTGCTCAATATCAGGGATAGAGCATGTGTAAATACAAAAGTGAAAACTGAGGTCAACACCAAGTGGCGACAGTCTGTTTTATACTTGAATGCAGTCTTCAGGTCATCCTGAAGATTGTGCTCTGGCATGAAACAGACTGTTGTCATTTGATGTTGACCTCAGTGTATATATAAGCAAGGGTGAATTAATGCAACTTAATATTATCAGCTGGTTATTATAAAAATGACCCTATCCTAAAATGATTCCTCTCTTGCAAAAATTAAATTATCACAGAACCTATTAGATTATTCAGAAACCATGTTAGGTCCTTCATAGCATTTTTTAAAAAATTATTTCATCCCAAGCAAGGCAATAAAGCCACTAAGATACAAGAGGTTACTGAGTGTGAAAGAATAAGAGAAAAATAAAAACATTATTAAGGAAGGGGAACAATAAATGAATACGAATTAAAATGCCAGAAGATTGACATTGCATTCAAATTTTTGAAGATCAGTATTAACAGGAAAGCAAGAGAGTTTCACATGCAAGAGAAGAAACTGCTAGCATACAACTTACAGTTACAGCTAGCTATTTCAAAAGTAAAATGATGAGACCTAGCTGCCAATCTAGTACTTTGCTCAAATTTTTCAATTCAAGGTACCAAAGAGGAAAACAAAATTTATTTTTGTAAAATAAAAAAATGTGACACAAGGCCAAGAGTGGGGATGGGTGAAGAGGTGGTTATCATCTGTTGTATAATTAAACTTAACTTGTCACAATCACTGACCCAAACATATCACGTATTCCTTACACCAAAACAACACATTCTTACTTACCATTCTTACTACAGACACCATAATACCTCAAAGTCTCTATGAAGTCCTGACTAGTTTCCATACGTACAATTTGTCTGTCAGGGTGAGGAATATAAATAACAAAGTGGAAAGCTCATCAGAACAATTTACCATGAGGATATTTATAGAAAAGGCAGAGAAAAGTTATGACACTGGGACGCCAATAATTTTTGTGAGGAAATTGGGATTTACTTGGTGGTGCCTAACTCCTTTTCACCAAAACATGATAACAGTAAGTAATGCCTGACCTGGCCTGACTTATTCAGAGATGGCAATGTATGCCTTTCTCAAAGGTATTCAATCAAATTATTTGTAGTGTGAGTGGCCATGGTTAAATGCAAATAAATGGCAGAACTTCCCAAAAAACAGAGTTTGTCGTAAAAATTAACAAGAAAAAAAACGAACAGAGCAAAAAAATAATATAAAGCAAGCAAACAATATATGCAAGGCAAATTAACAATAATAAGGCAAAGCAACTGTAATAAGGCAAAAAATTCACAAATTAAAAATTGGGGTTGACACATAAAAGCAAATTTGGATAAACAAATGTAGCATTTTGACCTCAAGACAGACCAGGACTGAGTCATATGTAACTGAGAACTGGCCTATTTTATTGTCTATGAAAAAATCCCAGCATGCACTTGTGTGTTTCTGTCTATAAATTGAGGAAGGGAAAGTGTTTTGTAGTCATTTCCACACTGATTGGAACCAACCTTATCCCATGATGTAGTAATTTGTCAAGGTCCCATATTGGTCTCTTCATAGCATTTTTTAGGGCAAATGGGCAGTGTTACTTGTTGGTGTCAAATTCACTGTTTTAAACTCATAATTCTGTTTCTGTTATAGCTTGGCTGTAAAAGGAAGACTTATAATTATTGGTTACATTTCCCAGTATACTGGTGAGAATAAACTGCTGGAAGTCAAACCCGATCTCCCTCGTAAGGTAAGAGAAAAAATGCATTATGGGTAATAAAATCTGTATTGTAAAAAGAAATAAAGCCAAAAATTGTAGTATTTCTGAAGAACAATCATTTTGTGTTTTTATTTTCTATAAGTTGTCAAATATGGAGGCATGGGAAAAGTATGAATGCATCTCTTCCCCCAATCGAGCTATGGGTAAATAGTGAGACAGAATTGAGTGGCTGAGGGGTCAGCAACTAAACTGGCACCCCCACCAAATGGGTGAGTAGGGTAATGAATCTATCTATCCAGGTATATCAGTAAGTCTTTAGCCTAATCATTAAAAAGTGCATTTATTTTGTGCAAGAAATATTTATTTTGGCAGATAACCTTCTTACTTGTCAATGCACTTAATTCATTAGCGAAAAATGGAAGGCAAGGTTTTTAAAAATACCAGTGAATTAAAAGAAGAAATTATAGATATTTGGAATAACATCAATAAAAATTTAATTTCTAAGCTAATTATAGAAACAGAACAGAAGAATAGTTTGCGGCAAACCACTCAAAATAAGTTTTTCATAAAAGATCAGATTAATAAACATTAATTCATAGTATGTTTATTGTATCTTCTTATATGTACCTATATTTTAATTAAAAAGTATGCAAATTAAAAATTAATTGTGAATGAGATTAAAATTTGAGATACAAATTATATCATTTCCTATACATTATTATATTTGATTAATGTGTTTTTGATTAGTGTGTATTTTTAATGTACACATTAGCCTCACTAATCGAGGGATTACTGTATACTTTTTACTTTCAAATGAATGAATTAGAAATAAATCACATGCAGTGACATGTGTTAATCCCACTGCCATCAGTGATAACATTCATACCAAGGCTTTAATTTGTTTAATTATAGAAAAAACTGTATGTCCATATCTAATTTTGTGTATGACGTAGCATTATAAACCTCTCTGTGAACTAAGTATATATGTTATTCTTTTTCCATTCAGTTACTCTATTCTGTCTGTGAAATATCTGTGTTGTTATATCATGGATATAGCAATGCCCATAACGAGAGAAATGTATTAGGGAAAATAAATATTTCTTTCCATCGTTCTTGTTACACTGCAACTTAGAGGCCTTGAAAAAAGAATTCAGTGTCAAAGAGGAATATTATTAATAATGCAGAGTGCTAAATGTTAAGGAGAGAAGATAATAAAAAAAAAACAATTAAGAAGACAGAAAATAATGATTGATATTGCATTTAAATTTTTGAAGCTCTGTTGTAGAGTAGTTTCACAGTGGAGGCTTGTACTTCACTAAGTCGGTCCTAAAAAGGTTCGACGTACAAAACGTTAGGAACTTGATATAATTGGTAATGACACAGAGAAATCTAGTGGTCGTCGCTGATACTCTTAGTGTCCGACATCGACTGGCTGACCAACTCACTCAGCTACTCTCTGAGCGACTTAGCGACTGCTACTACTCCTACTTATTATAGATGGGAGAGTCTATTAACAATAGAATAGGTGTGTTCCAGTATAACAAGATCAAAGTTGACAGGGAAGCAAGTAGCTGGAAGAGAGTTCCACAAGCGAGATGTGTGAGAGAAGAAACTGCTAGTATAGAACTTACAGTTACATCTAACCATTTCAACTGTAAAATATTTATAGAAAAGGCACAGGGAAGTCACATTAGGGTGGTAGGAAAGTGACTGAAGCTGAGATGACAGGTCAGGACCAATAACATTGCAAATTCTTCTTTGTATTTTGTCAAAAATCTCTGAATAATACATATGAGGATCACATGAAGGCTGGTGAATGACATCAGCACAGAGATTGACAAGAGCAGTTGTCATGTAGAGCCCAGAGATGAAGGATGTCCTTAGGCAGGTCTTACAGGAAAAAGTACATGGCCTAACCCAGTTCATAGAGAAGTCTCCGTAATCCCAGTTTTCCCTTTAGGAAATAAAACAAGTAAGGTTTCCCTTTCTTACACACTGTTGATGTGTATGTTATAATTTCTTTGTGTGGGATATGTGTATATATCTATATATCTAATTTTGTGTATGACGTAGCATTATAAACCTCTCTGTGAACTAAGTATATGTGTTATTCTTTTTCCATTCAGTTACTCTGTTCTGTCTGTGAAATATCTGTGTTGTTATATCATGGATATAGCAATGCCCATAACGAGAGAAATGTATTAGGTAAAATAAATATTTCTTTCCCTCACTCTCAAAATCAAAAGAGTAATCCTTTTCTTTAGAACCTCTTTAACCAAAAACTTATCTCTAAAGAATCAACTACAAACTTTCTTACAAATTGTAAGTCTACTAAATAAAGGCTTTGGCACTAAGATGACCCATAGAGAGTGATGTGCCATTAAATAAAAAAGAGAGAAAGAACTATCTATCCTACATATCCCCATAATATGCAATCTTTGCTCCCTTCCTGTATGCTCTTATAACATCTCGGCTCAGCAATCTTCTACCTTGAGTGGCACTTAGGCCAATATTTAAAAAAATATAAAAAAAATATTCATTCAGAACAACAGCAAAAGACAGTGTTTCTAAAATATCTTTTACTCTTTCTGTTTTTTTCAGCTTCTGACAAAATCGGCCAATATTGGTGGGTTCTTCATGCCCCACTACATGAACTTAATTCCTGAATATGTAAAGAAATTGGTGACCATGAAATTGCAGAATGAAATTGAAAGCAGTGTTGATCAGGGAATTAATGCACCATCCAAGTTTGTTGGCATTGATAAATTGGTGGATGCTGTTGAGGTAAGAATATGTTGTACCAGTGATGCATCTATATTACTGTCATGAAGTTTGTATATACAAATATACTAGAGTCTTTTTTTTTTTAGAGAAATAACTACAAATCCTTAAATGATCATGAATTTAAGGACAATGCTAGACTGGTGTTGAGATTTCATAAATTGACAGTTAAAATGGCTCGATGTATACTAACAGTTTCTTTTCTTGCACTTCTTACTTGTGGAACTCCCTTCTGGCCTCCCTTCCAGTCAATTTTAAACTGCAAAAAATTAAATGTAATGTCAATCACTATCTCCAGTCACTCTGATTTCTCTTTCCATTTGTTATTGCTTCTGTCCCTAATTCTTCTACACCCTGTGAACCCTTGTGTTTTAGTGGCTTTACTGCCTTTCATGGGGTGTTACTGATTAACCTTTACCATGCTAATCTCTTTCTAGAATTGCTTCCCTTACCAATGCATAATTTTTGAGGGTGCAAAAAAATGAACACCTACTGTTTTTAAAATTGCTATAACTTTCTTCATATTGCATGTATAGATTTTAATTTTTGTACACTAATAAAAGAATTAATGAGTAATAAAAAACGTGAAATAAAAAATAAATACATTAAAAATATATAAATAATTCAACATACTATAACTTTTATTACTCCTTATAGAGTTCTGGGGGTGCAATAAGAAGCAAAATCGCTAAGAAGGCTTTCATTTCATCAAAAAATTGATGTGTTTCCTTGTGTTTACATACGAGAAGACACTAGGATTTATTTGCCCTTTTTTTCACCTGACTCATTTATTTGTCTTGTTGACATGTTCTCATTGATGAATAAAGTTATTATTTTATCGTTTATAAATAGACAAAATAATTCACCTTCAGAAAGCCTATCAGGTATTTCAGTGGACACCAGTAGCTTCTATAAAATTAGTCAGGCATAGATGATAGTAGCTGCTAGGGCTCAACATCGCTTTCCTCCACATCACTAGCATGGTTATCATCTTTGACCACTTCACAGTCAATATCCACTTGAGTAAAGCCTTCAAAATCATCATCGGAGTGTTAATCAAAGAAAAACTCCTGAGTAAAGGCTTTGTTGGATATTGATAATTGTTTCCAAAAAATTGTGAAAAAAATTAACATGGGTTTCATCGATGTAGAATCTCACGTAGAGTCTAGAAGAATTCAAAATGGTGTTGGAAAACGGAAGTTTAACCTTGTTCCAAAGTAGTAGTAGGCGATTTCCAACTTAAAATACTGGAAATAACAGTTGACAAGTGTTTATTTATAGCAACCATCGCAAGGCAACAGAATGTGCCTAGAGTAGCAAAGGGAGATAATTCTACGGTAACAATTTTCACCTGCAGTTTGGTAAAAGTTAAAAAAAAAAACATAGTCTGTGTGAGGTTGACCTTAGGGATCACTTGAAGTGGCTAAAAAACACATCATGCTATTTCTTGTAAAATAGTGTGTTAAATATCAAAATGTTATTTGACTTCACAAATGATAGGGAAAATGAGGTCAAATTTGACCTTTGCACTCATTGGAGATATAATTAGTTTGTGACCTATATTGCAGATAATTATATTCTTGGAAATTACTTAAGCATTAGCAGTTACTAGAGGTCAATCTCTAGGGAGAGTCAATCACTAGAAGTCAATCTCTTATTAAAATCTCTCTCTTTTACATTTTTTTCTATTTCTTTTTCCCAAATGAATAAAATTAAAGGATTCAATGCATTAGCAGTCACTAGAGGTCAATCTCTAGGGGTCAGTCTCTAGAGGTCAGTCTTAGACAAAAATCTCTCTCTCCCCTTTTTCTTTTGTTGCATTCTGTGTCATTTCTGGGTCCCCATGTTATTACATAAAACGGTATCAACAGAAAGGACCATTTCTTTTTTTATTCGTTTTAATTAGGAGAGAGTGGCAGCAGCTTGATTTTAATTTGGAGAGAGTGGCGGCAGCTTGATTTTAATTAGGAGAGAGTGGCGGCAGCTTGATTTCTAAGATGCAGCAGGAGAAATTACATCCCAGGAACATATGTCACACAGTGGTGCAGAATCCTTCTGTGGATGGTTTTAACTGGATGCTAACCTGGGTGTGGGAAGTATATCAACTCTTCAGAATTCTTGCAGCCCTCTGTTGAATTCACGCCGTTTTGGACTTATATCTAAAACCCAGACAATCTATCACTGTCAGAATACCATGCCCATGAGACACTCCAGACAATTGCTGAGCATTCTGATCCTGGACTTTGCATTCTATAACACTTTTTCACCACACCCCCACCAATGAATGAACTTAACAGCTTCAATGGATTAGTAGTCCCTAGATATCAATCTCTTGGGGTCAATCACTAGAGCTCAGTCTCAGACTAAAATCTCTCTCTCTCTCCTTTCTAATTTTTTCTCCCAAATGTAACAAAATTTTCAAAAGCAATGTCTTCACAAGATAACAAGTCTAGTCTCCAGTTGATTGCTGGTTTTCCTGTCAATTTTAATGACACAAGACAGTTGACAAAGACCCGGATCTGGACAAGTTGCAGTGAGACCTGTATCTGGACATGCCAAGCTGTTCTGCTGCTAATTGGGAAAACCCAGACATAACTAGTTTTGACAAGCATGTCCACCTGTGACTTGCCTCTTTTGCATCTGTACTGATGTGCAATCACCACAGATTTACTTTTTGAATTCAAGTGACTTGAATTTGAAATGGGGCTCCGATTTGCTGTGACCCTCAACGAAGCACAAATCAATCTCAGGATCACTCTCCTAGAAATGAATTATTTATTGTTGGTGTTTTAGGTTTGAATTTCTTCTGATTCTTTCTTTCAGCTAATTTAAATTTCATTTTCCAATGTTTCAAGTTGACTAATAAAAGAATTTTGAGCTTTTTCTCAAAACTAAACTGTTTTTTTATAGAATTTTTTTCTCTTTTTCAGTACATGTACTCTGGAAAAAGTCGTGGCAAAGTTGTAGTGGAATTAAATCCATCATCTTAAACCAATCCTTCTGGGGAATCAAACTGAAAAGAGATGAAAAAAGAAGACTGTTTTTATGTGGCTTTGTAGATTTATTATATATTTGAGGTTAAAATAGTGTCTGTCTGTCCATCCCTTTTAATTAAATTGTTATCTCATTGTTAAAAATTCTTAGAATGCAAAATATGTTTCAACTTTGCTTTAAGAAACCCATGAAGGGTTGATAAGCTGTAAAAAAAACAAATCAATGAATCAACTGTTCATCCATACACATTCTGATTTGCAGGTACCATCTTTATTGATAATTTTTGAAATAATTAGCTTTCTGCTTGATAGGCTTATTAGTATATATATATATATATATATATATATATATATATATATATATATATATGTATTTGTATGCTAAAAAAACATACATACAGGCACAAAAAATTTTATGTACGTATAAATATATTTCTTCCACAGTTGTTATAAATACAGTGCTCAATGTTATGAGACAGCTATATATATATATATATATATATATATATATATATATATATATATAAATAAAGCTCTTGTAACAATGGACTGTATGGATTTTTGCATCTCTTACTTCCATCAAATGGAAAAATTAAAAGTGCTGGAAAAACTAAATAAAAAAAATTAAATTTTCCTTGTTTGTCATATTCAATGAAACATGTCTAAAAGAAAGGTTGCTGTCCACATATATATTCTGGGTTTGAGATGCTAAAGGTAACATCAACGAGCTGTGGGATAAACAGTTACTTATAATAATTCTCTCTCTCTCTATATATATATCTATATATCTATATATCTATATATATATATATATATATATATATATATATATATATGTGTGTGTGTGTGTATGTGTGTGCATGTGTGTATGTGTGTGCATGTGTGTGCGTGTGTGTGTATGAGTTAGTAGTATATAGACTCTGAAAATTTTATTGCTATAGTTAATAAAACATTTTTACACTTTTTCTGATTTATCAAATATATATATATATATATATATATATATATATATATAGAGAGAGAGAGAGAGAGAGAGAGAGAAATAAACTTTACATATTGAATTTTTTGTTTTACTTTTACATTTTACAACAGAATTATTGTGGTTGAAAAGAAAGATATACCTCTAGATATTTATATTTCAAGCTTGCATTTAAATATATTAATTTTGGAAGCAGTAAGTACAAACTCAAAAAAACCAACCAGTGCCACAGCTTAGAAAACACCTGTAATAGGAGAAACAGAAAACACCTGTCCATAGTATAATCGCTACTGTCAATTGCTATGTTAATACTGTATATATCTATAAAATCTGATATTGAGCAATCATCCCCCATAAATATAGTAAATTTTAATCAATCTCTCTTTCTCTCTCTCTCTCTCTAATATATATTATAAAGTTAATAAAGCATCTGCACTGATATTGGTCTTAACCTGGCATCTTGGCTTTGGACCCTTTCATTGGCATAACATAGCTTCCCTGTTCCTTTTATATAAATATTTTCCTGGTAATTGTTCTAATGAGCTTTTCTCATTGGTACCTAGACTTTATGAACTTAAATTCAATACTAGATTGGCAGCAAAGTCTCATAATTTTCAAGTTGAAATACCTAGAAGTAACTGTGTGTTCTATGCTAACAGTTTCTTTTATCGCACTTCTCGCTTGTGGAACTTTCTTCCTTTTTTCTTCCTTACCAGTCAACTTTGATCTTCAAAAATTTAAATGTTACTAGTTATCGCCTGACTTCTTAATTCCTCTTCTTTTATTGTTCTCTCTCCTTAATAATTTTTTCTGTTTCTCATATTCTTTCACACTCAATAACCTCTTGCATCTTAGTGGCTTCATTGCCTTGCTTGGGGTGAAATGATTAAAAAGTTTATGGAACATTTTGTGTACTTAGATATGTAAATATGACAAATACACTTGATGATGAAATCTCGCTCAAAATCTGGGAGGCTAGTAATGCATTCAGAAAACTTGATTGACGTTTATGGTTTTAGCATGTTATTTTGATTGAGACAAAATTAAATACTTAAGTTTAGTCTTCATTGTTGAATGCTTGGGTACTAAAGTTGGGTATCTAGTGGGATTGGAAGATAGGTTTCTACTCGTGGATCATTTTTGAGAACCAAATGATTGATTCGAACAAGTACTGTTCCCAATTAGACAACAGCAGTTGACAAGATCTGTCTGATCAGAATTCAGTGAAAAGGTGTAATCTTCCATTACAATAATGCTATATCTTTTTTATTTTATTTTTATACTGTATTTCATTCCATATTTAGCCACATATTTGCTATGCTAACAGTTTCTTTTCTCACACTTCTCACTTGTGGAAAACTCTCCTGGCTTCTTACTTTGAAGTCAACTTTGAGCTTCAAAAATTTAAATGCAATGTCAATCGTTATCTTCTGTCTTATTAACTTCTGTTCTTTTATTGTTCTCACTCCTTAACAAAGTTTTTCTTTTTCTTAAAGAAATTCTGCATATACACATACAAAAATAGAAAGAGTCATAAGACTAGGATGTCTCTTCTTACTGAACTTATTCAGCATTTATTGTGAAACAATCCTACCAGGATTCAATATTTATGATTACAATCTTAACATAAGACATGCAGATGATAGAGTGTTGATAGCAGACACAGAAAGGAAACTGCAAGAACTTCTACAGAAAATAGTGAAGGAAAGAAAGAAGAAAGGACTAAACATCAATCGTGAGAAGATAGAATGCATGGTTGTTAGCAAAAGGATGGGCCCCACATGCAAATAACAAATTAGAGATACCAAAATCAAGCAAGTACCTCTCTATTCTGAATTCAGTGAAAAGATGCAATCTTCCATTACAGTAATTCTAGATCATTTTTATTTAATTTTTATACTGTCGTTCATTCCATACTAAGCTGCATAATTTAGATACTTAATGAATGAAGTTTTGTAAAAGTGTAAAAACAGGAAGTAAGGATATTATAGGATAGATAAAGATCGACCCCAGACTTGAAGCAGTTAAGATTGTAGTGATCGTGTAAGCAGCCTCTCAGGAGTTTGTTCCACAAAGTAACAGTTCCAGGGAAGAAACTGAGTTGAATTTCATCCTTACCAGTGGAATCCAAAGGGAATGGGGATCTGTGTACGTGGCATTGTGGATCCTAGCTGTGAAACCCAAACTGGTGGATCAAAAGAATGTAGCCTGTCTGAACATTTACCATGAAAACGGTGATAGAATAGCGACGTTTCATCTGTGAGGAAAGGGGTTGCAGAGTGGTAAATAATTCCTCATCCACATGGCCGCGTTTGTCAAGGTTGAAAAGATGGTATCTCTAACTTGGATGTTGCAGCAATCCTCCATTTTTGGTCAAATCTGACTTGTAATAATAGAGTATGCCAAGAGGAGTCAGGTACTTTCTGACTATTTTCCACGCATCTTTAGAGCTGCTATGACTCTAAAGAAACCGGGAGTTCCACAAGCGAGATTTTGAAGGTTTCTGTGGCGATTTTACTGCTTTTACTTGTTCTAGGTGCGGGCCGAATACTGATCATATTCGGTCGGGTCGCCCATCGAAGAAGTCTGTTGTTTATTTAGACCCGAAACTTCTAGTGACATGGGAGCAATAACACTGACGACGCATCTAGATTCAGCACTTAAAGGTGTATTCTAATAATTTTAAATCTGTTTTCAACAGTGACTACCAGGAATATTCTGGCTGACGACTGAGGAAAGACTCGGTGACAGCTAGAAAGACAGTTGGCAAGCCGGAAAGACGGCTATTCGGAGTCTGCAGGGTTCGCACCCCTAATGACATGTCTCTTTGTTCTAAAGAGATCCCCGTTTCACGCTACAGGTAGAACAAGGAATACATACCCCAGGGGATCCCGAGAGGGGGGAGCATGAGATCCCCAGTAGGATGGATACAACGGTTACGACCACAGCAAACGCCCCAAGGACTTCTGACTCGATATGCCACTGTGGAAAGACGTGCAAGAACCAGCGTGGCCTAAAAATACACCAGGCCAAGATGAAATGTGCGGTAGTAGCTGAGAACTCACAACGCATAGGTGTTACACCAAGTAAGACGGAGGTGGAGCAGGTCCCGGTGACAAACCACAGCGCCCAGCATCACCCAGTGTGGACTCAGACCGGACAGAGTAGTCTCTAAGCGGATTAAATGGCCCCCAGCAAACAACAAGTAAGCTTGGCGCGATTTTGATGAAGACGTATGCATTATAATCCAAGGTACGTCTGCAGGTAACATAGACCGACGACTTCAAGCCATGAGTAAACTTATCGTCAGCTACGGATCAGAGCGTTTCGGCCACATTGAAAAAACGAGAAATAAAATCTACACTCAGAATAGGCGTGAAGGAAGGATAAGAGAAGTAAGGCAGGAATTAAGATCCCTCAAGAAACAATTTAAGGCCGCTAGTGAAGAAGAGCGACCAGCCCTCTCGGAACTGAGGAATATTTTAAGACAGAAACTGAAAAACCTGCGAAGAGCAGAAGGACATCGTCGCCGTAGGAAAGAGTGGGCCAGGAAGAGGGCTTCGTTTATCTCCGACCCGTTTAGTTTCGCCAGAAGACTTCTGGGAGATAAGAGGAGCGGCAGATTAGCATGCCCAAAAGAAAGGGTGGATTCCTTTTTGAAGAGCTCTTATAGGGACCCAAGAAGGGATGAGGAATTAGGATTTAATGATCGCCTCATTAAACCCAATCCCCCAGAAGTTGAGTTCGATACGAAGATGCCAAGTTTGAGTGAGGTCAAACACATAGTAATGGCAGCGAGATCAGCTTCGTCGCCAGGTTCGAGTGGCGTGCCTTACTCCGTGTACAAGCGTTGCCCTGGTCTTCTCATGAAATTATGGAAGATCATTAAAGTAATTTGGCAGCGAGGTAAAGTTGCAGATTAATGGCGATACGCAGAAGGTGTTTGGATCCCAAAAGAAGAGAACGCAGAAAATATCGAGCAGTTTCGATGTATCTCGTTACTGAGTACAGAAAGCAA